TCTACTTAACAACATGGGGTTTTTGAAGCTTAGTTACATTCAGGGGTTTAACAAAGCAGCTGGATGCCAAGGGCAATGTTGGCTTTTGGCTGCTGGTGCCACTGGCACAGTTGCACGGCTGTGGCAGTATATGCTATTTTTCTGCCCCCTGTGTAAGCTGGTGCCTGAGGCTGCTGCCCCAGTCGCTCCACCCTAGTTATGTTACTGGTTACTTTTAATTTTCTTTGGAAAAAAGTATAATGCAAATAAAAATGACTGAAATGTTAGAATATTTTTCATATTTATCACGCTTACTGTTGAGAATTGTAAAACTAATTACATTTTTCATGATGGGAGTGCCCTGTTATATTAATTGTATCTTCTTATCGTTCTCTCTTACAGATCGGTGCATTGTTGAGCAAGGGGTGAAAATAACTTTTCCTTAGTGGATCAGCGAATATCATTCTGGATCATTCTGCCTCTCAACAATTAGTAACAGTGGAAAATGTTCAAATGCCATAACAAGTCTTTGCAAATGTTTAATAAACTGTTTGGGAAAGTTCCTGCCATGAACAGAACTGTGTGATAATTAACATTACCATAGAGACACAAATCTAATGCCTATAGACTACTACGTGGGAAGTTCCAAAGAGAAAGAGAAGTCTGTGAACTTGCAACAGTCCTGGAAACATGGGAGCAACGAAACTTTAAAAAGCACAGCATTGGACACACTCCATGTGTCAGCACAGCTTTCAAGTGAACTAGTACTTAAGACCTTGTGTAACAAAATGGACTCTGGGGACACAGCTATAGGGCAAAAAGCTACCTCAAGGTCTGGAGAAACTGCTAAAGTACCCAGTAGATGGAGGCAAGACGATTCAGCTGTTATTAAGATGAGCACTTTTGGCAACCAAGATGTACAGAGGCAACCACAAATAGATCACGAGCAAATTAGAAACACTGCATCAGCACAACTTTTTAGTTCTGGGAAATTGGTATCATCAAGTGAAGCTGCACAGCAAGTCACAGAGGAGCAATATCCACAACATCGGCCAAGTCCTTACTCTTGTCAGCATTCACTTTCTTTTCCACAGCATTCATTGCCACAAGGGTACTTGCACAACATAAAGCCACATCAGAGCTTGGAAAGCCACACATGGCAGTTTCCTGGCCACTTGCAGTCTGTTGCTTCAGAAGACTTATTTCCTTTTCATATTCATGGCCATAGTGGAGGTTTCTCTAGAAAGAAGATTTCAAGTTTGAACCCTGCTTATAGCCAATATTCACAGAAATCAGTAGAACAATCAGAAGATGCTCACAAAAAAGAGCACAAACCCAAAAAACCTGGCAAATACATTTGTCCTTACTGTAACAGGGCTTGTGCCAAACCTAGTGTACTTAAAAAACATATTAGATCCCACACTGGGGAACGGCCATACCCTTGTGTTCCTTGCGGTTTCTCTTTTAAGACAAAGAGCAATTTGTACAAGCACAGGAAATCACATGCCCATGCAATTAAAGCAGGCTTAGTACCTTTCACAGAATCAGCTGTATCTAAGTTGGACCTGGATGCCAGTTTTATTGATGTGGAGCCGGAAATACATTCAGATTGTGAGCAGAGCACAGACACAGATGAGGAGGCCTTGCTTGTTGAAGGTTCGGACAAACTGAGCCCAGTACCCCCGGTCCCACTGGACGTTGCTGCTCGAGGTAGCTTTCACTCCTCCATGGAAGAATCATTGAGCAGCCCCATGAAGGTTCCCATTTTGATTATCCCTAAAAGTGGGATTCAGGTACCCAGTGAAAGTTCCCCATATGTTGGGTCAGACATGTTGCAAAACCCAGCCTTATGTACCAGGTCTGATGACTCTCATACCGTTAAACAGCGACTTGCACTAAGACTTTCAGAGAAAAAGGGACAAGATTCTGAGCAGTCCTTGAATCTTTTGAGCCCACATAGCAAAGGAAGCACTGATTCTGGTTACTTTTCTCGCTCAGAAAGTGCAGAGCAGCAAGTAAGCCCTCCAAATACTAATGCAAAGTCTTATGAAGAAATAATCTTTGGGAAGTTCTACAGGATTAATCAAAGGGCAGCACTAACAGTAGCAACAAGCAATCAAGAACATAGTTTAATGGGTAGAAAGGGCAAAGCAGAGCCACTATCTCTTGGAAGCAACAGGTTAGACATCAAGATGCTTGAAGAACATATTTCTCAGCTGCCTCCAAATAAAGAAGAGCTCCTTGATGCTAGTCAGCTCAGCACTATTAAATCTAACCAGGTCTTTGGTGTCAGCAACACAGAATCCAAACAATCTCAGACTACGACATCATCTATTAAAAGTGAAGCAACTCTGTACCCAGTAAGCCAGCAGGCTGGCACCCCTGGACTACTAGAACCCCCTATAGACACTTCTCCACTCATTAGAAGCAACTCCATGCCAACCTCTTCTGCAACCAATTTAAGTATTCCCCCTTCTTTGAGAGGAAGCCATTCATTTGATGAGAGAATGACAGGTTCAGATGATGTATTTTATCCTGGGACAGTAGGGATATCCCATCAACGGATGTTAAGAAGACAGGCTGCATTTGAACTACCCTCAGTGCAGGAGGGGCACTCAGATGCAGATTACCATGGAAGAGCAGGAAAAAATATCATTGTTGCTTCCAGCAGATTGACAGTAGGAGAAAAAGGACCGTCCTTAAAAGAGAAGAAGTTGACATCTGGAGAGAAGACCTTCTATGACTATGACACCTGTGGAAAGCATTACAGAAAATGGGAAGAATTTGAAGCTCAGAAGCAGAGCTATCGAGACTCACCATCTTTGGGAGGAATAAAGCAAGGAGGAGAGTATTTTGTTGATTCACTTGGACAGTCTCAGGTCGTGCCATCCATATACGGAACCACATTTGAAAACCGAAAACGCAGAAAAGAGAAGAGTGTAGGTGACGAAGAAGATATTCCTATGCTTTGCAGCAGTTCTACTGGCACTTCGGTGGGAATGCAGCCTTCAGATTATGATCCCAAACTCCAAATGCAGGAAGTGTCAAGAAGCGGATATGTCCTTCAAGGTCTTGACAGTGCTGTGCATTGTCACTCAGACCGTTTTGAAATTGGTAGACCTCACCTACAGTCAGGAAGCCCAGCAGCTTCCCTAGAAGAACCATCTTTACCCACAGAACAAGAAAAGTGTGCAGAATCACTGAACAGGAAACTGCCTGGAAATGTCATCTCTGTCATTCAGCACACAAATTCCTTGAGCAGGCCAAACTCATTTGAGAGGTCTGAATCTACAGAACACGTTGCCTGCCAACAGGATAAGGCCTATTCACCATCTGAAGCATGTGAGAGTGAGATTTCTGAGTCCCCAATGAGCCCGGATCGAGTTCCACAAACAGAAAATGTTGATAGTGTTAGTAAGCCTTCTCCAACCCAGCAAACTCAGCCATGTCATATGCAGCCCAGACTGGTCCGCCAACATAATATACAGGTACCTGAGATTCGTGTCACGGAGGAGCCAGATAAGCCTGAGAAAGAAAAAGAGGTGCAGAGTAAAGAGCAGGAAAGACCTACTGAAGAATTCCAGTGGCCACAGAGAAGTGAAACTCTCTCTCAACTCCCAGCAGAAAAGCTCCCACCCAAGAAGAAACGCTTACGACTTGCTGATATGGAACACTCCTCCGGAGAATCCAGCTTTGAATCCACAGGCACTAGCCTGTCTCGGAGTCCCAGCCAAGAAAGTAATTTGTCCCACAGTTCAAGTTTTTCAATGTCTTTTGAAAGGGAAGAAAATATTAAATTCATCACGCCTTCCAAGCAGGAAGAGTTTGGAAAACAGTCCGAGTTTTTAACTGTTCCAGCTGGTGCTTACTCACTTTCCGTCCCTGGCCATCACCATCAGAAAGAAATGAGACGTTGCTCATCTGAACAGATGCCATGTCCTCACACTGCTGAAATCCCAGAAATCCGAAGTAAATCCTTTGATTATGGGAATCTGTCTCATGCTTCTGCAGCAGGGGCACCTTCAGCAGCATTATCTCCCTCACGAGAAAGGAAGAAATGCTTTCTGGTTCGCCAGGCATCTTTTAGTGGTTTCCCAGAGATTTCCCAGACTGATCAAAGCATGGAACAAACTATAAAGCAAGAGCAGATGGAACACATGCATGCTGGTCTTCGGTCCTCCCAAGTTGCTTGGCATCATTCCCCCTCCTCTATGCTTCAGCCCATTCAGTCAGATGACTCTGGAAAGCAGGCTGTTGGCTCTTGTACACAACTCAGCAATAGTTCATCCCACCTTGCCCAGCAACAGGCCATCCTCACAGACAGTCAGGAAATGTTAAGGAATCCCTTGATTCAACAAGCACCTTATATTCCAAGCAAACATCCCACAGAGCAGCAGCACTTATTTGCACATCAAGAAAAAGTTCCATTTCCCGCCATTCACAACACCTTGTTTCAGTTTCCATATCCTGCTGTCTGCATGGTTCACTTACCATCTCAGCCTCCTCTCTTGTGGCAGTCATCAGAACCATTGCAGAGACACTTCCAACATCATTTTGTACAACAGCTCCAGAAATCCTATGTTAAACCACCTTTCCAAACAGAAGTTTCTCCTGGCTATCATTTGGAGCATGCTCAAGAGCATATTGGAAAGAAACCTGCTGATTATATGCATGCTAAAGAGCAAACATACCAGCATTACTCAGGAACATCTGGACAGTATTCAAAAAATACTCTTGCTAAGTACCAACCAGACCATAGGATTAAATCAGCAGACACATCCCCTGAGCAACATCTTCAGACAGGTTTTGACTCCTCAAATGATGGATCTGTACAGTCTTTACCAGGAACAGTTGTTCCTGTCAGGATTCAGACCCATGTGCCATCTTATGGTAGTGTCATGTATACAAGTATTTCCCAGGTCCTTGCACAGAGCAACAGCCCTGCTATTGTCATTTGCAAAGTCGATGAGACTGTTTCTCAAAGAACATTAGCAACAAATGCTGCCATGCAAGGAATTGGATTCAACATAGCCCAGATGTTAGGTCAGCATGGAGGGTTAGAAAAGTATCCTTTGTGGAAAGTACCACAGACTCTACCACTTGGCTTGGAATCCTCCATCCCGCTATGTTTGACTTCAAGTTCTGACACTGCCTCTAACTTGGGAGGAAGCAAACGAATGCTTTCACCAGCAAGCAGCTTGGAGCTCTTTATGGAGACTAAACAGCAAAAAAGGGTCAAAGAAGAAAAAATGTATGGACAGATTGTTGAGGAACTAAGTGCAGTAGAGTTAACTAATTCTGATATAAAGAAGGATTTTCCCAGACCACAAAAGCCTCAGCTAGTTAGGCAGAGCTGTGCTACTGAGCCAAAAGAAAATCTGCCGTCCACGTCGTCCTCTTTACCACTGTCGTCCTCATCATCTCAAGATTTCCAGTCTGTCAGCCTGCCAACAGGTGATGCTTTCCCACTGGCCAGGGAACAGGTTTCCAGTTTTGATTCAGCATCACCTGGGCAAAAGTCCAGTGGCCCTTCCGAAGGAAGAGAGTCACCAGAAGAGCTGGATGTGGATGAAACAGCATCAGATATGAGTATGAGCCCGCAGAGGTCTATGTTGCCATTAGGAGACATTCAGACAGAAGACCAACTGAAGCAGCAGAAATTGCCTTTTGGGATGTTGGTTCAGATGGCATCCAGTCCCAGTGGTAAAGCAACAGGCTCAACCATCCTCCTAACAGATGTAGCAGATTTCCAGCACATCTTTCAGTTCCCTAGTCTACGCACTACTACTACTGTGAGCTGGTGTTTCTTAAACTATACAAAACCCAATTACATCCAACAAGCAACCCTTAAATCTTCTGTGTATGCATCGTGGTGCATTAGTTCATGTAACCCAAACCCATCAGGGTTAAGTACGAAGACCACTCTAGCACTTCTAAGGTCCAAGCAGAAAAACACCACAGAAATTTACACTTTAGCTGCTATGCATAGACCTGGAGCTGGTAAACTGACATCGTCAAGTGCATGGAAACAGTTTGCTCAGGTAAGCGACAAGTTAAAAAGCACCATTAGCTGAGACTTTGCACCTCACAGAAAATTGTAATAAATTATGAGGCCTGAACAAATGCATTTATGATATTTCCTATTGGGAAATAAAAATGTCTGCCAAGTCTGGAGTCACTGCATTTCCCTCTTTACTTTTTTTCATTTTTATCATACTCTGAATCACCTGTTAAAGGTAAAAGAAAAGCCAAAGACTTGAGGACCTTGGATCAAGAATCGATGTTGTTAACTAGTTTTTAAGTTACCTTTTTTAAGTGATACACACTGATATCAAATTTAGTTACCTGGGTAAGGAGTGAATGGAAATAGACTAAGGACCTACAGATTTGGACCTTTGATGTCACTCAAAAACTGAGGCCTCCTTTCTGGATGAGCATGAAGAAGTATAGTTAAGAGAAATACTACAAGCCTATATGATCTGGTGAATAAGGATTTCCTATTTCCAATTTTCAGGGAATTTGTTAAGGCATGAAATGGAGTTGCTTCTACTGTGTCATTGGATCAAGCCCCTATAAAAATGTGTCTATGTTACCCTTTTACCAGTCTTTACCAAACATAAAGGGCCAAATGAATTGGCTTCGTGGATTAATATCCAAGTGCAGGTCTGACTTGGACCCAGCATTCAAACTTTTGAAATGAAGCATACATTTGTTCTGTGTTCTGGGCAGTAACACCACTCATTGATTTTATTCTGCAGGTGAAACATGAACCATTCTTCTTGTTTGGCAGCAAATTTGAAAAGAAAGTAGTGGGGAATATTATCAAAGAAAGAGTAAAAGGAGAAAGCCATGGAGATAAAGACATTGCATCCAAACAAACTGAACCGATACGAATTAAAATCTTTGAAGGAGGGTAAGAAAATGCAACTGGAAATATTAAACCTAGCTGATCATTAGTGAGTAAACAGATTTGAACCTGGACATGAATTAATTAGAGAAGTAAACAACCTTTTCTATTCAGGCCATATTCTGTAGCTTCCAGTGTGTCCTTTTTTATGTATGTGTTAGTCCTATAGCATGTAATTGGTAAATGGAGGAGTCTATGGACTTATTTTCAGCTCAACTTTGCAAAGACAGAGGATACCTACTCACATTCATAGAAATCAGTTACTCTAAACTGCTACTTCCTTCATTAGGGTACAGAAAAGGGTAGCTGGGTAAAATTTGTTTATTTATATAAATAAATATATATATTCCCACACCCCAGGCAATTACATTGTGTTTAATGGCTTCCATGTGGGTGTTTTTCCATTATTCAATGCTGCATTGTCTGCAAGCCATAAAAAGGGAGCTTATACTTATTCTTATAATACTTAATTATTTACCAAATGTTTATTTTCAGGCATACATTTTTGCATGGTAATAACACTTCTGGTATGACAGTTTAGCTGGAAGGGCTGTAAATTTAAAAGCAGAGCTTAATCTAGTGTTGGCTTTAATTGAAATATACTATTCCTCAATTAATTAAAACCAAGCAAACAAAAAGTTGAAAAAAAATAGATGAAAGGTCCATCACTGTAGTTTTTGGATTCATGGTATATCTAGCTTCTTACAAAAGCATATTCAAAATATTATTTATTGTCAGTTATAGTTCAGTGCATGCAAAATTACTTTATTTTGTATTGTGACATTTAGAAATTATACTGTCCCTATGCTGGTATTTAGTGCAGAATATCCTCTTTCCCAGCCAGGTAGTTCTGTTCATATTTGTCAGGCCCAGCGTCTCTTACCACCACGTAGCAGTATCTAGACCGATCAGGACTTAGGTGTAAGGAAGAAAAGGGACTGTTGAATACGTCTTTCATTTTTTACCCATTAAAATCTTATTCTCCCTCTCATTAAAATGACAGTGTGTGTGCTTTCCTTGTGGGGAGTCTCAATCAAACAGACTTTGATATTTCTCCTATAACCTGCAGCTGAAAGGGGGCATAACTTGCCTCATTTAAAAAACTGAAAATGTCATCTTTGAGATTGTTCCAGGTTCTGCCAGCCCAGGAATCCTTCATCCTGGGTGTCCTCTGTGGTAGTTCATTCTGCTACTAGTCCAGCCAGTAAACTGGCTACAAAAGAAATTTTCCAGTGACCCACATTCAGAGGTGAGTCTAAGTTTACAAGAAATCTAAAGTACTGTTTCTTAAACTCATACCCACTTACAAGTGTATAACTCACCCAAGCTTCCCTTACACATCATCTCTGAATTTGGATCACCCACCTTCAACAGATCTAAGCTGATTCAATTTGCATGCTAAGTGGTCACAATGGTAAAAGCTGCCATATTGCGTGAGACCAAGGGTCCAGCTACCCCAGTATCCAGTAGCAAGTAGCAGATGCTGTACAGGAAGGGTGTGTCTACATGTGATCCTGCATCACTGTAGCAATGCGCTATGGCGATGTAGCGTTCACGGGTGTCTACATGTGACCAGCAGCTACTCTGCCATAGCAATGTACTCCCCCACTACAGTGTGTTGCTACGGCAAAGTGGCTGCTAAAAATAACTGCACCACATATACGACGCAGTATGAGCCGTTACTGCACCATGATTTAGTATTTCCAAATGGAAGTACTAAATCACGGTGCGGTAACAATGTCACCATGGTGACACGTGTAGACATGGCTGAAGAGTATAAAATATAGAACGTATGTTGAGTGATCATTCCCTGTCAAACCTCCCAGCTACCAGCAACAGTAGTGTTAGGGATATCCTGAGCTTGAGCTTCCAAAAAGAGAATGGCAAGGAAAGCAAATAACGTGAAAGTTTAAATAGATTAAAGCTAAAGGAGCCTGCCCTATGGAGCCTGTCCTTATCTTTTAGCACCTTCCCTGGGAAATTTGGTATATTAATTACAACTTCCTTAAACACTAATAAAGGCTGAGGGAATATGAGTGTAAAGAAGCATAATTTACATCATCCTACATATCATCAAGAAAGAATCTAGAGATCCCTGTATGTGTAGATTTAGTGATGGGCTTTAATAAACGTAGGTGAAGGCATTGCTGTTCTCTTCTCAGCTTGTGGTGTGTTGTCACCTTACAGTTTCCCTGATAGAAATATTGTACTTCCATGGGTGCGGTGTGCAGGGTAGTGATTCTGTAGTGGACACGTGTCTTCCTTTTAGATTTCAGAAGAGTACCATTTTATATAAGAGTGGTATTGTTCATGGAAGGGTAGATTGATTTCTTTTACTAGCTTGGTTATTTTTTAAACAGATGTAATATTCTCTCTTTGTCATCACTTAGCTCGTTGTTAGTTTTTGTCTTCATTGTAATGGAATCACCCTTCTGGCAGGTTTTGTTTTATGATTCACAGAAGCTTGCGTACAATATATGTATTCTTTTGTGCAAGCTCACTCTTTGCAGGTTTCTTCTGCTCTATTCTATTCTATTCTATTCTATTCTATTCTACTGTATTGTATTCTGTACTGTATAAGTATTTGCACTACTTTCTTCATCGGAGCATCTGAGCTGCTTCCCATAGTGCATTAACCAGTGTGATTAACATCTGTCACGTGTTTGTTTTCTTGTCCTCTCTAGAGGGAGAGAAGCATGTACAGTGAAGTGCCATATTTCAGGAAGGAATTTTGTTTGTTTGCTTGCTCTGGATTTTGTTTTTGTTTAATTGGTTTGTTTTTTTCTTTCATAATGTATTTCTGTTAGAGAAGGCAATACCAAAGAAATGCACTGTGCACTTGTAGCAGTAGAACTGTGTAGCAGTAGATCTGTGATAGTCCTAGGGGCGTTCAAGCACCATTTCAAACTGGCCACTGAGGGAGTTTTCTCTCCTGCTTTACCCTTCTTGTGTAGATTTCTATTTGGCCAGAAAAGCATGGTTATCATATTCCAGGGGGACCAAAAGATGGGTATGGGTTCAGTGAGAAAATAAAGTGACAGAATGAGCAGTGGTTAGCAGAAAAATAGATGTCACAACACATCACTTGCCTCACCAGTGCCAGTCAGGACTTATTTGTAGGTATCATAGCAAAGATGGGTTTGAAGGAGGGAACTAACAGTTATATTATTAGCACTGACAGGTAGCTTGATTCAAATTAAGTTCTTTGAATAGCAAAATCTGATTTCCATCATTGTTGACTACAGCACTCCAGGAGGATTTGCAGTGATATTACCCTAAGAAAATCAGCAATTTAATGTTCTCTTGTCTGTATTCTACATCCCACATTTCAGTTAGTTACTTATAGTGTACAGTGAAAGTAGGCTAGGAAGGAGTGGACAAAACCTGGTAGCTCTGGAGACATCTTGCAGCTTGATGACATTACCAGATTGTAATGAGGGCTCATGGCTTGTTTATCTTGCTCTTCTGTGTATGGTAGTGATAGGGTTGACTTGGAAACCAATAGTAAAGTGGCATTTTGGAGTGGAGCCACCTAACTCTGGGATTGGTAATGCCTTTTAAATTCACAGCGTTGGTCCAAGTCCAGCCCAGATCACTAATAACTCAGTTATGTGGTGACTGTGGTGGCAACGGTGAAATGGGTTAGTGATGACTGAGAGTCAGAGATATGAGTCA